TTTTCATTTTTTCCTGATTTTTGGGTAAATTTCGTAATCCCATTCCATTTCCTTACGATTAAGTATATCCTTTCCTTGTAATCTATGGTCACGTAATAGATTTCTAGGTATCCAAACGGCCCTAAGTATACCCAAACAATGGAAATGTCATATTTCCTTGTAATATATTGTCACGTATTAGATTTACAGGTGCCCAAACGGCTCCTTAAGTGTACCCAAACAAAACGGCTCCTTAAGTGTACCCAAACAATGAAAATGCCATATTTCTTTGTAATCTATTGTCATGAAATAGATTTCCAAGTACCCAAACTGCCCTATATGTATACGGATATGGTTCTTTTATGAGTGTACTGACATCACCACCTTCAAAATCTATGTATATGACCTTTAAAATACGTCTAAAATTTTACTACCTTAAGATAAAGGAATTTGCAAAGAAAATAAACTAAATTAAAGGAAAATAACATAATTGAAGGGTAGAACTATTTATCTTTAGGGACCCAAAACTCGTAGTTTTGGACAAAACTAGGAATTGTGGGTGGAAAAGATCGGGCCGCTCTTATTGTGCCACCATCTCCTCTTTTGGATGCCTTTGCTTGCTGGAATTTGGTAGATATAATGATTTTTCACCTAAATCTAGGGTTCCTAAGACTTTGGAAGCGGTTGGGGATTTTTAGGTAACATTTACCTATTTTTTCCTAAAGTTGTGATATGATTTTCCCTATTTTTCTAAGGGATTTTGGACTCATATTTTCTAATCCTAATTTTGAATTTTATATAATTTTTGGGGGAATTTTTCTCTTTTTTTTTTAAGGATTTATTTAAGTGTTTAACCAAATTTCTCGAATCTATTGGGATTTTTCTACTAATTTATGGGAATTTTATAATTTCTACTAGCCACTTTTGGTATGTTTTCAATTCCTAGATTTTCCATATTTCTTTGTTTTTTTTTTTTTGGAGGGGCATATTTATAGGTTGAAGTAAAGTTCTGGTTGAACTTTGATCAATTGAATCCGAGGGTCCATATTCAATCAAAAGTCTTACAATTTCAGATTTTCATGGAAGATTCATATGATTAGAAATAATCTTGAATTTTCAAGAGAGGTCCCCACCGCCCACCGCCTCGGCCATAGCTTGGGTAGGGGTATTCTGGTAATTTATTCCCTTATTCTTTATGAGCTTCTAACTTTCACATAGGTCCATTTTGGGTGATTCTTGGACCATTAGAAAGTTCTTGATTTAGGATAATTTAATGGGGTTGAAATGTACTAAGCAGCGTTTTAAAAAATGCCGAGTCGAACCGGACTCGCCCGGTTCGACTCGGAAATAGTGAAAAAGGAACCGGATCGCCCAAAAATCGGAAATCGTCCGGTTCTAGAGAGAACCGGACGATTCTGTACAGTGAATCGCCGATTCACTGTATGGAATCGGCGAGTCCGAACAGTGAATCGGCGATTCTGTAAGGTTAATTTTTTTTTTTTTTTTTTTTTTTTTTTTTTTTTTTTTTTTTTTTTTTTTTTTTTAGTACTCTAT